TGTCTGCAGACCTTACCACACTGCAGACGCCCCTGTAAAGAGCCTGTGTCTGCAGACCTTACCACACTGCAGAAGCCTCTCTAAGGAGACCACGCACCTCTGCAGACCTCACCACACTGCAGAAGCCCCTGTAAGGAGCCCACGCACCTTTGCAGACCTCACCACACTGCAGAAGCCCCTGTAAGGAGCCCGTGCACCTCTGCAGACCTCACCACACTGCAGGCTGCTGCCCACCTCAACCTCGGACTCAGGAGCCCAGGCAGGGATCTGGGACTCAATAGCCACTGCCCGGCTCTACTGCAGCAGGTCCAGGCCAGGGAAGGGCCTGAGAGTTCTATCCTGCCACCAGTCACACCTAAGGGTCTGTAGGCCCTCAAGAAGGGACAGAGGGACTGCCAGAGAGGTGTGCAAAGGGAGAGCTTTAGCCTGGAGGAAGCAACAACCCCACTCACAGCCTGAAGCAGGGAGGCTAAGGCTCCCTACTGGGAACGCCCAGGCAGGATCAGCCAGCCCTGAGTGGCCAGGCCCCAGGGCCTAGGAGCTGAGCTGGTGACAGCTGGCTCTGCCTCCCCACAGCACCCAGCAGTACCTGTTAAGATCCGATGCAGTGGCAAAGTGACGTAGGTTAAGTGTGCATAGAGAAGGAAGTTCCCGTCCGCTCTGTTCAGCTTCAGCCAGGACCCAACCAGGGACCGCCCAGTGCCCGACAGAGACCGAGACCGCAGGTTGGTTGCATTGTGCAGGTCGGCTGGAAGGGAGACGAGGGGTCAGGACCCAGCAGCAGAGCCCCAGCGGAAGCAATAGGAGGACACTCCCACCCTCTGTGGTCCCCCACACCAACACCTATGTGACCCAGGCCCACCCTCCAGGGCTCAGATCCATGCCTCTGCCTCTGTGAAGACTTCCCCACTCCCGAGGGCCCCTCTGCATCGATCTCAGGCTCCTTCACAAGGTCTGGCACGACACCAGCCACCATTCCTCTGCTCCCTGTGTCCCGGCCGCAGTGGGACACAGGACAACGAGACAGAGATGAGCTATCACCCAGCACCATGCTCCAGGCTGGGGAACCTGTCCCCAGGGGTGCAGACTAGTGGCTGCTCACACTTTCCCACTGAGCAGAAAACAAGCTTCCCAGGGTCACACAAGAGCGGGTCGCTCCCAGTGCTGGAGTCTCCTGGCCCTGGACGCAGGTCTGGCCAGTAGGGCTGTCTGCTCCTCCATCCTGGTGGTCACAACAGGGAGGCCGCCTCTCCTGTCAACGCTGCAACCCCAGCTCCCCACCCAGGCCCAGCCCCATCCCCGTTGCCAGTGAACCCTTCGCTCTCCCACTCCGTCAGCAAACACGCACGGGCACGGAGCCTAACGGTGACGGCCAGGAGCACACACGGGCCTCACCAGGACAGAGTCAGCCAGACCCTCCCGGCTGTCTGATGGCCATGCCTGTTCCCTATCGTCCATTTTCCACAGCGGCCCTTCGGTGAGATCCTGAACCCTCAGGTCTGGCTCATGGCCTCCTTGCCTGAAACCCCCTTTGGCTTCTGCCTACTCCAAGGGCTGCCCACGGCTCCTGCCTCGCGGCCATGTAGCTTGCTGATGGTCCTGCCAGAGAGGACCGTGAGGTGTGGGTGTGCGGGGACAGGGTGTGAGTGGCTGGGCTAAAGGACTCAGGACCTGCAGGTGGAGGTGCCCAGGAGGCCACAGACCAGCTCAGGGAAGCCACGGGGAGGACGCATAAGTGGTCAGCTCCACGTGGCAACTGTGACCCAGGGCAGGGGAGCCTGGAGGGGCTGCACCAAGCAAGGGACCCAGGGCCAGGGCACCTAAGGGACACCGCACAGAATGTTCTAGAGGGAAAGCCGGGTGGCCGGGGTGCCCGAGGCACACCTCACAGAACGTTCTAGAGGGAGGGCCGGGGCACCCGAGGGACACCGCAAAGAACGTTCTAGAGGGAGGGCCGGGGCACCCGAGGGACACTGCAAAGAATGTTCTAGAGGGAGGGCCGTCTGGCCCAAGGCAGCTCAGACAGGACAAAACCAGCTCCCCTCTCCCACACACCCACCCCCTTCCTACTGAAGCGAACTGCAAAGCTCGGGGAGCCCTGGCCTGGCCCTGTGCAAGCACTGCGCAGCCTGCTCTGGGCCAGCCCCCGGGACCTCCGTCCATGTCCGTGGCGCCCTGCCGGCCCTGGGTGGCGACCGAGCCGCCTGCCCTCTGAATACCGCAGAACCAGCAGCAAGTGGGTGGCGGGGTGGACCAGCTCGGCCAGGGGCCAGGTCACCTCCACCGTCGTCCTCCCGGAAGAACTCCTCGCTGTCGTTGGCCGAGTGAGACTTCTTCATCTCGGCGATCCGGTTCCGGGGCACCTTCCTCTTGAGGGACGGCGAGAAGAAGGCCGGCCGGTTGTTCCGCTCCGGGGTCGGGGGGGTGCTGAAGGAGGTCACCTGGGGACAAACAGCCCAAGTCAGGACAACAGCCGGGTGGCCTCTGCCGGGGACCCGGAGCCCCTTGATGCCCTCACACTAGACCCGATGGCTCCAGAGGAGGGCATGGCTGCGTCCGCCCATCCTGCCCTCCCGAGGCCAGGCCCAGGTGAGGCCGAGAAGCTGGCAGGGCGGGGGC